TCACTCCAAGCTCTTCTTACCTTGATGGTTTGTGTTGAGAAGTCTGCTGTGATTCTGATGGGCTTTCCTTTGTATGTGATTTGTTTCTTTTCTCTGACTGCTAGTAGAACTTTGTTCTTCTGTTGAGTTTCTGGAATCTTAACAATTATATGCCTATGTGTAGATTTGTTTTGATCAAGGCTATTTGGAGTCCTATATGCCTCACTTATCTGTATGTCAAGTTCTTTTCCCCTGCTTTGCTGACTTCCTCTGAACTCTGAGAGGTGGGACAGGGGCCAGGAGCAGCAGGATGTATGGTGGCCCGGAAGCCCCTTCCTCTAGGCCAGGAGTGGTGGGACAGAGGCCCAGAAGCCCCTTCCTCTGGGCTGGGAGCAGTGGGATGGTGGCTCAGAAGCCCCTTCCTCTGGGCCCTGCTATCCACTCTTTTAATGTTTTATTGGTACAATTGTTACAGTGAAGTTCAATTTATTCACTTAACTCTTTTTTCCTCTAGACTGTAAACTGATTGAGAGCAGGACTATAACTTTCAAGGCTATATGCTAAGTATTTGCCACTCTGCCTGACATAGTTGATGGGCAACAGCTGCAAAAAAATATGCAAGCTTAATTATAATCAGAAATTTTAGTTACATCAATTTTCTCCATGCAGTATCAAGATGTGTTACTTTGCTTCCCTATTTTAGAATGTAACAATGAACACAATTTTTCTTTGTTTTTTATGCTTTGCTTTTGCAATGTTTCAAAGGCATCCTTCTAAAGTTAAATATTCACTTTAGAGGTGTAACATTTAAAAACAGGGAATAAATGAGTGTTCCTGAATATGTTTTTCTTGATGAGATTTTCCTTAATAGCTGACATGATTTTGACTTGTGATTTCTTCTCTCTTCTAAAGTCGTTTGAAGCAAAAATTCTGTCATATTGAGTTAAGCAATGTTTAACTGTATTTGGATATCAACCTTTTAACTTCCAGAAGTCAATTGCAGTTAGTGCTGCCTGATTCTCTAACCACCTGGGAAATTCAAGGTGTCGGCATTTCAAATAGCGGTAAGAAAGCTTCAGTTAAACACTGATTTAAGGGGCAACCCACTTTCTAGTCCCCCTTCTGTCTCTCTTAGACAGAAGCTATCTTTCTCTCAATAAATTTTTCCTACTCTTAAAAAATAAAAGCTTATGATTTTTCAAGGTTAGACAAAAATAAACAGAAGAACAAAAAAAAAACAACACCAATTTAAGCGGTGATTTGATTAGCAAGGTGTAGTTCTTTGTTATGATGTCTTTAGTTTCTCAGAACTTAAGTGATGTTATTTTAAAGTATATTCTTTATGTATAAACATGACAGATATACCCACATATTTGAACCTATTGATTTCTTCATTTGCTCTTTTTATTTAACTGTCATTTTATAGCTGGTGTCAAGTCCCTATTTTCTTTCACTTTTTTCAGTGACTGAGAGCTTGAGTAGAGTTAGAAACAATATATGACTTTTTTTTTTTTTGGTACTGGGGATTGAACTCAGTTCCTTGTGCTTGC